AACTTTACTTCTCTCTCTCTCTCTCTCTCTCTCTCTCTCTCTCTCTCTCTGTCCCTCCCTTGCAATCCTCAATATTGTAGATGCCACGTCCGGAAGTTCGCGTCGTTGCTGCAGTTGCTCTCTTGCTGGTGGGAGGAAGGAAAGCGGCAAGTGGGTTGTTTGCGTGCGGCGGAATGCGCTTTCCCTAATCCCATTCCCCCAGAGTGCCCTTTGCCGTCTTTTTTTTTCTATTTTCATCTCGCAGTACTTTTTCTTGTTGTTGTTGTTGTTGTTGTTGTACAGACGCGCTCTGTGTCCGCCAATTGTAGACATGGGCGACACTACCGTCAAAAAGTCGAAGCGGGACGAGACGGAAGACGAACGACGCGCCCGCAAGGAGAGAGAGCGTGCTGAGCGAAAGCTGCGGGAGCAGAATGAGGCGGAGAAGTCGGCGCACGACGCTGAGGGCAACAGGAAGGAGCGGAGACACAGGCGCGAGGAAACGGAGGATGAAAGGCGCATGCGCAAGGAGCGCGAGCGTGCGGAGCGCAAGGAGCGCGAACGGGAAAGGGAGCAGCTTGCGGAAGCTGCAGGGGGAGAAAATAGGGAGCGGAGGCACAAGCGCGAGGAAACGGAGGATGAAAGGCGCATGCGCAAGGAGCGCGAGCGTGCGGAGCGCAAGGAAAAGGAAGGGGCCAAGCAACGGGATCAGCAAGAGAAGGAGGATAGTGGGGGCGTCGCGCGAAGATCATTTGCTAATGATGAAGCTGTGGTAGATGACGAACCGCAGGCATGGCAACAGGAAGGTCCCGATGCTGAAAGTACGGGCGTGGTACTTGGAGGAAGGAAGGAGGAGCTGGCGACTGCAATGGACGTGGAAAACCGTGCGATTCGTCAGGCTGCTGAGGAAGCGAGAGAAGCTGCTCGGCGTGAGCAGCGTCGACGCGCCGAGGAGGAACGGGAGGAGGAGGCGATTGAGCGACGAGAAAAACGCCGCAAAGAGAGAGAGGAAAAAAACATGCGCCGCTCTCAGACGACAGATACATCGGGTGCAGTGGTGGGGAAGAGCACGCTTGGCGTCTCGGATCTGCGACGTCAAGGGTATCGAGCGCAATTTGAAAAGGACCTGCAACGTGCAACGGCCCTACGACGCCTAGTGGACATGGATGATGTTTCTGCGGCCCTCGTTGACGTTCCTCCGCAGTCGCGGTACGACATGTATATTCGTAACTTTGGGGACATGAGTCGCAAGCAGGCTGGGGTGCAGGCTCCGGCGGAGGAGGATCGTATTGATTTTGAGGTACAGGCAGAACGAGTACGTGTGCGGCATCGCGGTGTCGAAGTGCCGCGTGACTTGGGACTTTGTCCTGAGCAGTTCGCGGAAAGACCGATGCACTTTGTGAGGGATGTTGGCCAGGGCGACGCCGCGGACGCCGTGGAAAACAACGATGCTGCGGGTGAGGCTCCCCTGGGCGAAATTTCTGGCGCGAACATAGTTAACAGCACCTTGTTGGCGGCTTTTCTCGGACGCGTATTTCCCGTTATGCGGGCTATTTTAGATGAGAATGACGAGGAGAAACTTGGCCCAGAAGCACTGAAGTCCAAGAGTGAAACTCAGTTTTCTACCTCCTACACGACGTTTTCTCTCGCTGCCACCTGCAATCGACCTGTTGTGAAGGTCATGTTTAACCCCTGTGCCCCGACCTACGTGGGGGTGCTTCATGGGCCGAGGGAGGAAGAAGGCCCGTCTAGCGAGTTGGACCGCTACATGTCGGTGATCGTGATTTGGAACGTCTACGACTCCTCCTCGCCCGAGAAGGTGCTTGTTAGCCCGTCTCCTCTCACGTGTATGTGCATGAGTCCACGGTGGCCGTACTTGATTTACGCCGGAGCCGAGGATGGCTCGCTTTACGTCTGGGACACTCGCGAGCCAGAGCGAAACCACATCACCGCCGGCTGCATCCAGCGAAACGCATTTCGGCTCCCCTCGTTCGCCACGTCGTGGCAAACTGGAAACCATATTGCCCCCATCGTCGCCGTTGCTGTAGCGGGCTATAACACCGTCGTGGGTGTTCGTAAGGATGAAAGTGAGCAGCTAGTTTCCCTTGATGCCAGCGGAGGGACGTACTTTTGGGTGGTTAACGAAAAGGATCAATCGAAGGGCGCAATCAGTGACACAGAGAACGGGTTGCATATGTTCTCGACGGTACGTTTATTTTTAGCCACCTCAAAATCCGAGGATCACGTCAACGCTCTGTCGGTCGATCAGGAATCTTTTGCCCTGGACTTTGTTCCCACTGATCCCTCGCATTACGTTGTGGCATGTGCAAGGGGCGTGCGACACATGAGTCGTTTCGGCAGTATAGCGGCACCGTCTCTTTACGGCCCGTGCTCCAGCTTTTTTGCGCGCCCAGTCGCCGTACCTTCCTGCGTGCGGTACGGCACCGTCGACAGCCGAATTCTCATGGTGGGATACGACGATGGTGGCTTGCGCCTCTACCTGCATACCGACGCTGAGCCTCAACTTTCCATACCCTTGAGCAACCACCGCGTCGTGGACATGCGGTTCAGTGGGGGTGACAAATGGCTGCTGTGGGCGTTGGACGCTAGCGGGACGCTCTTCCTGCTGGATTTGGCGAAGAAGGACAAGGAGTTTCCGGTTCTCTCGCAGACGTTGTTGAGCCCCGACACCGGATCTTGCACCTGCTTCGATATTCCACCCGAGGGAAAAGCTGATAACCGCGTGATACTCCTGGGATTTGAAAAGGGCATGGTTCAGCTGCACACCCTCAGCGACTTCACGCACCCACCGAGCTCCGACAGGGAAGAGCATTGGCTGTAGTGGCTAGGAAGCAACCAAGAGCAACAGCAAATGGAAACAAAAAGAAAGAAAGTAAAAAAAAAAGGAAAAAGAATAGCAGCAAACAAAAAACCAATTTGCGTTGCCGCCCACAGTGCCTTCTTGCTTACCGCCTTTCAGTGGGAGTACTTTTGCCTTTGCGGTAGCGCCACATTTGCTATGCACATGCACACGCAAACTTTGAGGTAGTAGCGAATAATATATATATATATATATCATATTCTGACAAAGCTGAAGGCAAAGAACAAAAAAAAAAAAGGAAGTTCATGGGAACTTGCCCACTGAGCACAAAAAAAGTTGAGCAAGGGCGGCGAATGCCACGATGTTTGGAAAATTGACACGCTCACCCTGATTATGTATAGAGTGGCCTCCTAACGCTGTTCTTTTCCTTTTTTCTCTTCTCTCCTTCTCTGCTTTGGTGGCACGCAAGCCAGCAGCGAGAACCACCGCCTCATTTTACTGCATGAGCGGGAGGAGGGTGAGGAGGCTTTGTTTTCCCTTTGGCTTGCCGTGAGATTGAGCGTCGGTGTTGTGTATGCGTTCGGCTGGTTGGATGGATGCGGCTTGCGCTTCGCTTGCAGTGCTGTGTCGTCGCGGCGCACACAGTAGTGGGGTGACGGAGGCCACGCATGCGTTTTCCTACCGACCAAGGTGGCAGTACTCATTCCCATTTCGTTCTAAACGACTCACAGACTTTGTTACGGCCAGTGAAAATTCTGTGTCCTCCGTTGCGTACACGTACCAGCACGCTGAAAACAGGGTTGTCGTTACCCTAATACCTCTTCAACACTTTGCACACCCGCAGTTTTTTCATCAGGTGGATGCACTCTGCAGCCAACATGAGTCCGTATTAATGGAGGGGCGTACGCCTTTGGCTGGTGCACCATTTTCGACAATTGTTCCTCCCCGTGAGGGCGTTGCTTCGGTGCGCCCGGCGGGACACGAAGATGACGAGGGTTGGGAACCGCGGGAGATTGAAAGGTTTTGGCAGCCTTTTTCATGGGGTGTTAAGGATTCCCCTACGATGACGATTATTCATGCTGCTGACAAGTACGATTACGAAAAGTTGCCCTGGTGGTGCTCGCTTCGCTTTAATGCTCCTCTTATAGGAAGTTTTGCGCGGGAAAAACATTGCCTGGACATGATTTATCCCCTTGCATCCAATGGCTACAAGTCATTTGCGATCCCCTGGGGCGCGGCGCATATGCCCATCTTCAATGAAATGCTCATAGATAATGGGTTTGAGCAGATTGGCATGTGCTCGCTGTTGGTGTTAAATCGTATTGACGGGGAAATTAGCGCTGGTGAGCATGAACGTTTTTGCCGTATTGAGAAGAGACATCATCGCTTAATTCAGCTGGCGTGGGGGCTGGCGATCGTTGCGGGGCTACTGCTCCTGCGTGGGATGGTCGTGGTCGAGTACCGGAAGGATTAGTCTGGCGAGGTATACATTTCTTCGTTTGTTGCGGTGCCTTCTTGTTGTTTTGGGCAAACGGTGGTCGAACTTCTTCTCCACCGTTCTTTTTTGCTGCCTACGCCTTCGCTGGCATTGTCGTCCACATCGACCGCCAGGGGTTTCTTTGTGTGGCTCTTGAGCGGCTGCTCAGGCAGGGGAAGGGAGTCCGGCACGGCCGCCTCACCAGCCAAAGCTAAGCCGTGTAGAAAAGAAAAAGAACAAAAAAAGGAAGGAGTGAAACAACTTTTTTTTTTTGTCATTGCTCTTCTGCCTTCTCTCCTCCTCGTGGAGAGGAGGGGATTGGTGGGAAGGGGCTTGTACGGTTATTTTGCATTTCCTGCTTTTGCCTTTCCTCCCCATGCGTGCTTGCTCTTGGTACAACACCGCACTAGGCTTTTTCACCTCCAGAACAATCGCATGGTGGCGCCGGCGCCTCGCTACTGTTCAGCCGAGCTACCGCACTTGTGTTCGTTTACAAAGCCACAGAGCCAACCACATGTAAACCGGAGTGAGGAAGTTCATGTTAAGGGGAACTCCTTGTCACAGTTAGATGATACGGCGGGCAGCTCTGTGGTTGGTGAAGAGGGACTCACTCAGTCGCAGAGTAGTGAAAACGACGAGTCTGAGGAAGCACCCGAAGCCCCGGAAAGTGAATACGAGGATGACTTGGCCCCAGACCCATATGAAGAGCGAGGCCCTTTTGAGGAGGTGTATGAGCGTCTAAGGAAGACCCCGTTGGAGATTCACCCGTTCCTCGACATGAACGAACAGCGTTTGCTGCTTGAGAATGAACGGGTGCAAAGGCACTACGATGTATTTCTCTCCATGGGGCAAAAGCATGCGCGACCTCTCAATGAGTTAGGCGCCTTCAGCCGGTGTCTCCTCAACGAAGCTCATCGCGTTCATGTTTCGCTCGTGCGTCGTTACAACAAAACCTGCCAGGAGAAGTCACTTCCGCCAAAGAATGAAACGGAGATCAATCACCAGTGGCAATGTATCAAATTAGCCGTGGAGCAGGATCTCTATATGGAAGGGTTTGCGGCAGTTCAGCGTCGGTTGTCGTGTATGTGCATATTTAACCCCAACACCGACGAACGTCCGTATGGTGACAATGAAAATGTTCGCCATCAACGACTGCTTCGTCAGGAATGCGTCCTCAACCGCCTCATGGCGCAGTCAAGGAAGGGGGGGAGCCTGTTTCTGGACTTACAGCAGCAGTAGAAAAGAAACAAGAAGAAACAAAAACAAAAACAAAAACGGAAAACAGGCAATAAGTCGCAAAAGACATCAATAACAAGGTGATGATGCGCGGATCCCTGTAAATGAGGTGCGGGTGTAGACGTTCTTTACACATCAATGCATATATGCGCGTGTGTTTGTCCCTTCTCGCTTTCTTTGTGTTCTTTCTCTTCTTGTTTTGTTGTGTCGTTTCTCTTCCTTCTCCTTTGACCTGCCGTGTGCGTTTCCCCGTATATACATGCATGTGTGAGTGCGTGGGCGTGAATATGTATATACATATGGTTGTATGTGTGCACTTTGAACAGGGTCTGCGCCTGCGCCCCTCTAACCGCCGCCGCCGTCACGAGACAATCATAGAAAAACAACGGCACACCGAACTCAGAAAGGAGGCAAGACAATGCTCGCGGCCATACTGGGGGGCGCACGCACGGAATTATCTGCGGCTTGGATGGATGCCGGCAGAAGGAGGAGCGGGAAAGGTGTAAATGCAAATAAAACTAAGTGTGAATGAAAATATAAGAAAAAAAAAGAGACAACAAAGAAAATGCCATAAAGAGTGAATCTACGGTTTCTTGGAGTTCCGCGCGCGGAAAATAGAAGTAAAGAAAAAAAAACCGCTTGAAGAAGCGAGAAAAACAACGGAACAAGAAAAACTGGTGAGTGGCAGCTAACCAGCAATGGGTGGGTGGGGTGGGGGGAGTAAAAGTCGGAAAAAAAAAAGACCAGCTACATTTTTCTTTTCTTATATATAAACATTCCATCAACAAAAGGGAAACAAACTGTTTCAAGCGGAATCACGGGAAAAACACAGCTGTTGCTCTTTTTATGTCCTCCTCCTCCGAGACTCTT